GTCCATAGTGCAATTCAGCAGCCACCTGGGATGTCATAGCAGCCCCACTAATGGGAAGCACTATTTACCTCCTCGGAGGGGGGGGGAGCTATACAAGATGCCCTGTACAAATACCGGATTACACCTTCTCCAAGCAACCCCTGGCTCGTAGATTTAAAACTCACAATCGAAACACCAGTATACACGCGTATATATTTTGTAGAACTGAGCCGAGCTGAAAATTTAGGTTTGCCAACAGACTTTTCAATCCTAACATGGAAATTTTCGAAAAACTAGAAAAGCTAGTATTGCGGTGATTCTTTTTGAGGGTCCACAGTCGAGTGCGTCATTCCTCGATCGGCATATACAGTTGGAGAGCGTGGGAAACACTCTCAAGAAGGCGACGCCTATTGGTCCAAACATTTACTGTGTCTGACGATCTCGGGAATGACGCCTAATAAACCAGAAGTGGCCGTCCCCATCTCGCTTGTTTTTACCAGTCTCCATATGCGCATATATATCCTAATTTTGAAAGCGTTCATTTGCAACGCAAGTCGCTGTACGACAATCATGAAATAGACACGAAAATCAGTATTGGATTCTCCAGGCCTCCAAATGAGAAAAATTACGATGCTGGAAGACTGGTGACTGCCACGCCATGGATGGAGATAACGCTAACTCTGGTGTAAAAATAGCTAATCAAAGAAGTGCCAGATGTAGGCAATCGAAAGAGGCAAAAACAGACAAAAATTACCGCCAAACCCTTCGGATCTCCCTTCAGGACATTCTGTGTGTACAACTGTTTGACCTCCTTCTCTAGGCGACTCGGCAGACCGGGATACATTGTACTACCTCCACTCAGGACGATGTACTTGTAGAACTCTGCTCTCGTATCTATAGGTGCAGACTGGATTGTGCTGAAGAGCATTTCGGAAATGCCGGGACTCTCATTGTCAATGAGGTTTGGCTGGAAGAGAGCCTCCGGGGCTCCAAACTGTTCCCCACCAACTTTAATTACCCGGCCGTCGGGGAGCTATAGACAAAAGATTTAAAAGAAGAAGACTGGCGTTGAAAAAAACATTAAGCGGTAATCCGACAACGACGAGTAGCAATTAAATGGGCTCTTGAGAGTTTATTATGCAAAATTAATCTCCACGCATCTGACCTGACTGTAAAACGGAAGGTCTTGCCTTGGATCTTTACTAGGTCTCTTGACGACATTCAAATAGCGACAAAAATTAATAATCCAGAATTACTGATGGTAAACATAATAAAGGATCAGGATTGCCATGTTTAGCTTTTTTTGTAAACAGCCAGGTCTGCATTTTTCGGTGAGACCGCGTTTACGATATCTCACCGCTGCGGCCGAGGGTGTGGGATCTGTAATAGACTTCCATCGCAAAACGGAGTCAACGGCACATTGTCCTACAAATGGGACAGATAGGTGAACATCCATCCCCCAAGTTTGTGAATAGTCTCGATCACGGCTGAGAGGACGGAAACTGGTGGCTCAAGAATAGAACGACTGGCTTAAGGGTACCAGAAAAAAGAAACGAGTTCGAGTTCTGGGTATTGTCAGCCCGGAGCTGAGCATGACTGGCTGATGAGGGCAAATAAGCTAGGAACGAAAATTAGCCCTTCGATTGTGCCTGCTGATAACACATCTGGATTATAAAGTAACTTAAAATATACGAGAAGACTGAGCCGAAAGCCGCATTACGAGAGCAACTAAAGACCGGAAAATTTACAAAAATGACAGCCAAAAAGCGTTGCTACTAGTCTGGAGTTATTATGGCAATAATGGCAAAAGGCCAGTAATCTGATCAGGAAAACGTTCAAGATTTTAAAATACCGTATACTTCTTGACCAGCACTGTGGTGTCAAGTGCAAGACTTTGCTCTTGTTGCAAATCGTATGCCACATAGCAGAGCTTTTCTTTCATTTGCCTGATTGTTTCGAAGTCAGCCGTCTGGTTGAAGGCATAGCCACGAAGAAGGAGTAACTAAAAGAGAGGAAAAGTCGTTTAATCACCGGTAACAGGGCTCTATATTCAACGACCGAGTAAATCTCGTCACGGGCACTACTTGGAATTCACGTTTTCACATGAATTGGTGACCTCACGTTGGAAAACACGGTCCATCTGACAAGAGCGGTCTGCTGCGGAAAACAAATGCCTTAGAGCATGTTTCTGTAACCAACGCCCATTCCTGACAATTTAACACATTGAGTCTGATTATTTTACAGTCGTTTTTTTGTTGTGTTTGTATGTTTCACATGACAAGTTGCCGCGTTTTTTTAAGTTTGAGTGATATGCAGCCAGGCCTCTTGTCAAAGGCTAAAATATGACTAGGTGTATTTCAATCGGCCTTTATTTATCAGCACTAGCATAAGTTGCGGCTTTCGAGCTTACAGCGGAAACATGTGGCATCCAGTAAAGCCACTAATTCATGAAAATAAGCATTTTTCACTCGAATACCAGACTGTAATTGCAAAAACACTGAATAAGGTTTATGAAAGTCAGATAAAGAACCGAGGAGACAAGATACATATACCTACTTTCGAAAGTATGCTCAACAGAGGTAGGAGAACGAGCACGCGAAGGCAAATCAGGTAACTTAAAATAACTTGTAGGAATATAAAGGAGGTTAAATTGTCGGTAAACACAAAAAAAGTATCCGGTAAAACCGTCTGAAAACTGAAATGTTCGTACCTTGATTAGATAGCGAGTAATATCGCGACCAGCGACGTCCAAACGCTTCGTTAAGTGGGTCATAGTGTGTCCGGAGTAGACAGGACAAATATGCGTGACACCATCACCAGAATCAACCACGACTCCGGTCATCAAGCCTGAAACAGATGGACATTAAGATGCGAAAGGTAATATGAAATACGAGAACGGCATTAGTGAAGAATGTTTAGGGATGCAGTTCAAAAAGACTTTGATTGACAGAAAAGGGACTGGTTTGACAATTTCACTCATCCATGCCAAATTACTCCCTAAGTCATTACAGCTTGATGATAATGTCAATGTAATCGAAGTCTGTTAGTCGGTCAGTCAGAGCCTCTATGTCGATTCGACACAGATGATTTATCAAAACAGGACGAGGTGAAGGAATATAAACTTTTCCAATGCGAAACTGGAGAGCAAACTGCTGGGAGAGTGTTGAGGACCAAAGTTGGCGCAATGACGGAACGGCAGAAAACCATATTCATAGCGACTATTTTTTCAGCAGATTTCGAGGCCCATTACGCAACGAGGGGACTTACGACGAAAAGATTCGAGCGATTACAGAGTCGCTAGTTGATAGTATTCATAGCAGCACTTAGAAATGCGCGCAGGATGAAAAAGATGTCGGTGACCTTGCCTCAAGCTTGGGACCCAGGTTTAGATCTTATTCCAGAGTCACAGAAACCGTGAAACTGCGTGAAAATGACTATGTAAGGGGGCCTAGCAGCAATGCTGATGAGATCTCCGTCAATACACCTTCCGCACTTTGTTAAATTTCCCTACATGAGGACGAGCAAGGACGAATTTACCTTCACACAATTTTCAAATACCTCAGAGAACCAAGGCACACAAAAGTAGCGACAAAAGACTTTGCAGTGTTGAGTATTTGACGAGGGCGTTTAAAGTGCCTCTTCAAGTGTACCTAAAATAGCTAGTCCTTGACTGGCTCCGTGGCAAGTAACGCGCAATTGACCTGTTTCGTGTTGCCTGGACTGTTATGATAGAGACTTAGGTGGGACTAGAGCTTCATTAGCTCAGAGTCTCAAGAACAGATTGCCAAAAAATAATCTCAGACGTTTTTGTTATTGTCTCTAGTAATGGATTTCGAAACGTCAGGCGGATTAAGCTCTGGTCCCAGCTCTTATCACATCGGCTTCTTCACACTTTGGTGGGAATCGATCCCTAAGATCATGGGTTTTCAAGGCCGAGTCGGAAGTTCAGGCTTAGAAAGGCAGCGGATATTCACTTTGTACTGATAGGGGCGACAAACTGTTAGCATTAGAGCTGAGGAACGTCCGCACATGCCAGCGTATAGAATATCGGGTCCGTTGCCACAAGTGCGGTACATTCTGTTTAGCGTTCGCTGCATCAATTTACCAGTCGCGTAACACGTAGGTCACGGCAGACGCCATGACATACATCGTAATGCTGTGTTCACAAACTATATACGAGTATTCGTGTGCATTTTGAGCGTAGGTGTGTTGTAAACAGTAGTGCGAATTTTTAGTTTGAGCTGTTTTCCCCAGCGCTCTGACCAGGATATAACTGTATACAATAAACTTATTTAACGGCTGCACGTAAGTGTCTTAGTCAGGTTTTTTAGAGGCTTATAAAGCTGTCAGTATGCAAGACTTCGTTCATCTGCACCATGAAAGCGCTGTTGCTGCTGGGTGTCAATTGCTTATTCGTCAGACCCCGGGGTCAGCTTATTTCGCATCTAATCCTTTCTGAAGTTCGATTCACCAGATCTGCCAGACGCTAACACGCGAGGTTAACGTGCAAGCCTCCAAACTAC